GGGGGCCGTGACATGCATGGTAAGATGGTCTCTTTATGAGCCAGACAGCTGACCTTTTCCTGCAGTCCTCTATGACAGCAGAGGTGACATCTGAGTAATTAATGGTTTAAAGTCTTGGTGGCTCACCTTCTGCACCTCGTCGTGTCACTCAGCTGTCAGCTGATGATGTCGGAGCTCACATGTGGGATGGGATTCATCTACCATCTTGCTTATGAAACTAYTCAAGATGAAWGCAGAGCTGCTCTTTTTGAAGTTTAGGAACCCCAAAACTGAGAAGAATGATAATTTCAGTACTGACAAAGCTCAGGTGAGTCGCCTTGCTTCAGTGTCACCCTCAGCCGTCTGTTATTGTGAGTGCAGACAAAAGGATGGCACGCTGGGATTTGAGACAAAAAGACACAATCACACAAAGCAGGACATTTTCTGCAGAGTATGGATAATTATACGCTTCCTCATCTTCTCTAAACAGTGCTGCTGTTTTTCTGAGTGAGTAAACTTTATATTTTCCTAATAAGAACAAAGAAACAGCCAACATGTTATCGGCTGGAACTCCTTTAACATCAGTGCCTGCATGCTGGGAGCTGTGGTGCAGATCAGACCTGCTCACCGCCCACCTCCCATCATTAACTGAGCACTGTTTGCAGATTGAGTTATCCTCTGTGTTWATGTGTACACATTCACCCATTTGTGCACACAAAGATTTCGATTCAGCACCAGCGTATAGAGATTTCTCTCAGTATAGAATAAAGTTTAAATAATTGTTGAAAATATTCCTGCAGACTAAAGGACAAAGACTGCTTATGTAATCTATGGGTGGGTGWCATTTGTTTCCAGAGGGCCATATTGACTTCTTAAATYTAACTAAAGGGACACATTGAATTGGAAAAARAAGCATGCCTGATTTATTTAAGTAATCCTAACTATATCGTATTGTAGCATAATGTGTTTTGTGGTAAACTATAGCRGGGAGAGCTTGAGCCATAGAAKAAATGAAGTACATCYAAACATAAATCTGRACTTGTTCAGATGGTGAAACCTGCWCCGTACAGGTCGTCTTTCCTCGTGTGCACACAAACCAATAAGGATCTCCATCCACGACCACCATTACTCAGCTCWGACTTTGATCTTTGGAATAATGTCAGCTGCCTCTCGGAGGGTTCGACTCGCCATCTCTGGATCCCCCCTGCCCCTCGCATTCAGGCCCTGCGCCTGCTGACAAGCTGCCAGCTCCACTCATCCTGAACCAGCACCCCAAACGACGCCAAGTCTGTGGGGCCGATGGTGGGTCTTCCAGCTTACAGTGGCTCTGATAATGTACTCCTTCAGCTGTGTCAGATGATGTGACAAAAGCGCGCGTGTGTGTGTGTGAGGCGAAAGAAAGAAACTGCCATGGAGACGGGAAAGGTATCGCACAAGAAATCCCCCTGGTGCCGAGAGCACATGAAAAGCCTGATTATCATGAAAAGCTGTATGTGTGTGTTTCATTATGGCATGTGTGAGCGATGACTAGTGAATGAGGTGCCGCTGGTTTTGCCKGTCCACCCTAGTGCTTCAGTGTAATTAACAAGGAGACTAATGAGCTTTAACAAGGCTGGCTTTTTTTTTATTAGAACTGCTAATTGCTTGATGCCAAGGCTGCATTTGGGAGACAATGAGAAGTGGACTTTGTGGGTTCAATTATTCATGTAAAATATAAGCCTAATTTTGAGCTTTTGTGCTGCTGCTGCCATGTTTTCCTCGGGTGTCCGGAGCCATGTATTACCAGATCCTTATGGGGTCCAGAAACACCCTACAGATCCTCCTCCGGGCTTGGTTCTGTAGAGTTTTTGCAGACAGGACGTAATGTTTCTGAGCAACCTTTACAGTGCATTGTGGCACAGAGGGAGGCCCCCGCTGCTGAGGAGTCTTGTTGCCATAGGGATGTGTGCCTGGTCTGCCGTGTTTATTTAAAAATGTCAACAGTCCGACATTCACAAACCCATACAAATAATAGGTTTGGAGAGGTGATAACACATTATGATCATCCTCACATTTATTACAAACACACTGATCTGATGGGACCTCACAGCTTCTGGGGAATCAGTGCTGATTAATTGGTTGTCCTGGTCCTAATTGCCTCCCTGAGATTATTTTAGGCATCAGTAATACTAAACCATGTGAAACCAAGTTTTTGTTGAAAGTTATCAAACTCTAAGAATCTCATCCTAATCCATGACGTATGTATGGTACACTTCCTGCCCACTATCAGCTGTAATTGTGGACAATCAGACGTCTCTGTAGCTCTTACTCCTTTTCCCCCCAAGAGCCTGTGACCTCGTCCCGCTCTGCTGCAGACAGCAGCTCATCAGCAGCTCGAGGCTCCTGGACGGTGACCTTTATCATTCTGGGTCACTGACATTGAGAAAGTCAGACGGGTCGGGTCTTCAGTGATTAATCCAATTGTTTCAGATGACCTCTCGTCAGGGGTGTGTCTGTCCTCTGAATTTTGAAAGGATCCTACAAAATAATGTGACCAACGTCCTGTAATCCTGTGGGACCCATTCCTGGCTCTGAAGGGCTGCTATCCTGCATGCTCTGGTAGTTTCCCTGCTCTTCAGCAGGTCTTCAGGTTCTGCAATAGCCTGTTGATCACTTATTCGTACAAACCAGGTGTGTCGAAGCAGAGAACCGTCTAAAACATACAGGATATCGGACCTCGAGTACAAGAATTAGGCRCCACTGCTGTGATCACAGGACGTCTTTGTTGTTCCTGTTTCTCCATACGAAGCTGGATTACATCACCCTTAAGTTGTTTTGTTTTTGAGCAGATTTTCCAACGTGTTCAGGAGCTGCTTCATATCTCCAGGCTCTATATGCAAATGCAAACTCTCAGAAAATCTCCCTGACCCTCGCATACTGCCAACCCTCGTTATTTTTTTCTTAAATATTCAACTTTATGAAAATGAGGCTGAAGACAAAAAGCCTGGCATTGTGTCTAATCTGCCCCCTCCCTCCCTACACACACACACACACACACACACACACACACACACAC